CTCGGGTCCCAAATAATTTTGGCATATTTTGGCAGCCATAATGCCAAAATAATTTGGGATTTGGGCGGCAGGTATAACTTAGCCAGAACTCACCTTTTTCATTTTTTGAACCCATCCATCCTTAAATCCCTATCAAGTTTTAGCAAAACTATTCTATTTTGTTTCCTATTTTCTATAGATTAGAATTTGCCATTATCTCTCTTCTCTATATTCACCATTCTTTTCTTTTATTGTTTCACTTTACTCTTTCTTTAATTCATCCAGATTCTTTACTTTTGTTGTTCTATAATATAAAATATCAGTTACTTTAGTATTATTTATCTTTTCATATTTCCAAAATCCACTGATAACTACTGGGCTAAATCCAAGCATTTTGTTTTACTTGTCCTCTCGTCTTCCAACAAGTAATATTACTAGACCGCTATCTAAAATAAAAATAAATAATTTAATTAAAATATACTTTAATTAATATTTTTTAATTTAAATACCATTATCATCTTCTCTTCTTCTTTTTCTCAATGAGAAAAGAGATACTATCGTATGTTTGTATTAATCTCCAATCTCTTGAGAAACACCTGTCTCTCCTCCAGAGGTCCAGTCTTATGGGATTCTATAATTACTTTGGATTACTGTAAATAGTCAAAATCTGGTAAGTTTTGAGGTGTCAGTGATCTTTTTCTTTTTTTTGATGAGGAAAGAGATACTGTTGCACATTTGCATTGATCTCTGATCTCTTGAGGAGCACCAGAGATTCCAGTCTTATGGAATTCTATAATTACTTTGGATTGCTGTAAATAGTCAAAATCTGATGAGTTTCATGGTGTCAGTAAGCTTTCTCTAGAAGAAATTTCAAATATTTTTGTAGGTTGTTATAAATTTTTGGATCCTTCTGGTATGTGTGTTGGTATAGATGTGCTTTTTCTTTGAATTTTTTTGGGAAATTCTTTAGGATAAGGACTGGTTCTTCCTTTTCCTTTCTTTGATCTTCTTAAGATATTCAAAACATAAGCAAGAAGTATCTTAATAATAAATATAGATATGTAAAAGAGCCTAATCCAATTCCAATTTTTGAAAATACATAATAAAAATTTCCCAACTGGACCTTTAAATTTATAATAATAAGTGTAAATAGTAAGTTATTATTTATATAATAGGAAAGTTAAAAAAAATAACAAAGCCAAATATACTTTGAGAACAAAGCCTTCATTTCTTCTATTACTCCTTGCACGGCATGACCAATGGAGCAGAATTACTGTCCTTGACAATGCACCAAATATCTGGTGTATTGCTGGCCATGCAAAAACAGAATCCACTGCCCTCATGTGCTCCAAGGAAGTTTTCAATGACATTGTTCCTTGCATGGCATGACCAATGAAGCAGAATCCACTGTCCTTGACAATACAACCAAATTACTTAAGCTTTCTGGCGTATTTCTGGCCATGCAAAGACAGAATATACTGCCTTCGTGGTTCCAAGGACACTAGTAAAAAAATTTTCACACAGACAATCAAATATGGTTTAGGATATCTATCCCTTCGGTATTCACGTGAAACAGTAATTTTAGATTCCTCTCCGAATAAAACTTTATTTTTTCATGGATTCTGTGAATTTATCCTCCCCGGTTTCTGAATTATCTCGATCTTCAACTCCCTCCCTCTCGGTGTTTAATCAATCTAATTCTCCTAAAGATTTTGTAACACGCGTTTTAAGTCCAAAGATAGCCGTTATTTCTTCTCAAGATGCTGATCAAGTTTGTCAAGTTAATAATTTTCCAGATTTTCTTACTTTAATAAAGCCATTTGGAGAACGCATCGAAGGAAGAGGTATACTTTTTTTTTTTGTTTTAAATAAAAATTATTCTCAATAAATAGGTTTCACTCAAATATTATAACATTATTTGGTTATTAGTTACGGCTATGGATTCACAGGGTTTGAAAATTCCTATCGAAAACTTTACTGTTCGTTTCGCTAATTTAACGAGTTTGCAACAGCCCGATTTTCAAATGATTTCTCAAATTCTCACGGAAAAAGTAAAATCAATTGGAAGTAAAACACAAGAATTACCAAATATCACCACAAAAGCCGATGTCAAAGAAAGGTATTTGGAAGGTATTTCTATTTTTTAGTTTGTATTTTATTATAAACTTGATCAATTGTTTCATTACTTATTATCTCTCATCATTTAACCTTTAGCAAATTTAGATGACTTGACACCTTGGTATGCTGAATATCGTAGATTATTCTTTACATTCACTGGTGTCTCCGAACACGAAACATTTGAGCATCCCGTAGCTTGTAAATTAACTTATTAATATTATTTATATAGGAAGATAAATATTGCAACATAACTCATATGTTTCATATTTATGTACATTTAGGCATAATCGCCATAAGTTCATCAAATAAAGATCCAATTAATACACTTTCCCAAATGTATGGCGTTACAATCCCATCTCCTATATTTGATAAAGGCTTTATGGATACAACAATTTTGAAATATTATGTTCTCTTACATGATAATCATAAAGTAAGCCTAGAACAGTAAGTGTTTAATTATATTAAATGTAACGATCCTTAAATATTTTTAAAAATTTTTTAATATTTCCTTTATTTAGTTCTGAGGCTGTATTTGAAAAAATGAAACGCAGTTTTGGACTTCACTGTCATCTTTTAAAATTAAATTCTATCCCACCTGTTTTAATTCCTGAAGAACCTAGTTCAAAATATTTAGTAGATCGTAGTTTTATATCTGATATATGGACTTCTACCGTTAATGATTTAAATCTTCTTAACTCTATGTTAGTTGCTTCTCCTTCTATACAATCCACCTCTCCTGAAGTTCATTCCCGTCAAAATTCTTTGACTTCTCTTTCTAGTTATTCTCTTCCTCCTACAATGTCAACTTTAAACTCTTCAATTTCATCCTTTACTGAAGATAATAATAACAATGATTCTCAAATTTCACTTAATTTGGGTTTAATGAATAATTCGCCTCCAATGTATGGACAATATCTGAGTGAAGAAGATATTACAAGAATTAATTCATTTGTGCGAGAATTAGTTGTACAAAGCATTGTACCTTTTATGGAGCGAAGCATTCAAAATTGGAATGAACAGGTAAATATTTGATATAAAAAAAAAATAAAATAAAAAATATTTGAGTTTAAATTTTTGAATTTTAAAATTTAAAATGATCATTGGAATTAGGTTGCTTCATCAAGGCGTGGGATTACTGGTCGTCTTTTTAGTGCTAGTAGACGTTATTTTAGTGGACCCAAAACTGGTCTTGTTCAGCAGTCTTCACAGTATCCTTACGCGTCCAATACTTCCTCAAATAACACAATGTTGGTTTTTTATTATTTCAAATTGTTAAATTTTGATTTAATATTTTTCAATTTTAATAATTTTAATAATATTTAAATAGATATAATTGCAATACTCCTGAAGCTCAAATGCGGAAATTGGCGGATTGGTCTTTTATGTTAAGAGATTATAAATTCGCGCATTCTGTTTACGATACGGTCAAAAAAGATTTTTCTGCTGATAAAGCATGGAAATATTACGCGGGGGCTCAAGTAATTATTATTAAACTTGTATATTCTTGCATTTTCATAAAACTTTTACATTTATAACTAAAAAGTGATTTTATCTCAAAGGAAATGATTGGCATATGTTTGTTAATAGCTTCAACAAATATCAGCAATAGAACAGAGATTGAATATTATTTTGATCAGGCAATGAACGCATATTATAACCGATCAAAATTACCATTTTACGCTACAAGGGCTACTATATTGCATTATGAATTATTAAAATTCAGAAATTTATATAAAGATGCGCCGCCAGCTTTAATTCGATTGACCGGAGATGTAAGTTTCTGTATACATCTGACAAAATTAAATTGGGAGATTTAATGTCTTGACGAATTTTAATTTTATCCGTTAGGATTCTGATCTTAGGAGTGCATTATTTTTGGAACAAGCAGCTCATGCTTTTTTGAGATGTTCCAAACCAATGGTCAGAAAATATGCTTTTCATATGATCTTGGCAGGTCATCGATATGTCAAATGCAATCAGGTTAATAATTTATTATATTAGAATTATATATTACTTTTTTTTTATTTTTTTTAATTTTTATATATATGTATTTTTATATATATGTATTTTTTTTTGATAGCGAGAGCATGCGTATAGATGTTATCTTGCTGCTTCACAAGTTTTTGAGAATAATTCTTGGTCTTTGGTTGAAGATCATATCAACTTCGTTCTTGGTCGACAATCTTATCATTTAGGTGATCTTCCCACAGCTATTAAATTTTTCTTGAAATTATTAAAAGCTAGTCGTCAATCGCAAACACAACAAAGTGCATATTTAAAGGAATTCTTGTACATATACAAGGTAATTCTTTGTGATTGTGTTATTCGATATAAGTAAATTTTACTAACCCGTCATATTTAAAATTAATTAATAATCACGACCTAAAGCAATATTTAAGTAAAATGGATGTAGAGCCCAATTTTAATTCTGAAGAATTGCCAATCCCCATCATAGAAGATTCTTCAGTCAAAGTTATTCTTTCGAATTTACAATCCTGTGAATACGATGACGGTTGGGAAATATTGGAGGAAGATTTCCTTGATGAAGGGTTTTCGGGATTAGATGCCTTTGGTAAACCAAGAATAAGACCATCGACATTAAGCAGCGATATTCATAGGACGGTATGCGCTATCGGAGGTATTTACTCAAATTTTTGTGAATTTATTTAATTTTAAAACCCTTAATAATTCAATAATAATTTAATAATAATTTAATATTTTATGCATTACTTTTATAATATAGAACCATTTTTTGTACAATTTATGATCCAGAATCCAATGCAAATTCCAATTAATATAAACGATATGACATTGGAATACGAATTTGTACCTATTCCTAAATCAGAAGAAACATTTTCAGATTTAAATAATAGTTCAAATAGTAAAATTGATGCCACTAATAATTTCGAATTTCAATTACTTAAATTTGAAGAATTTGACATAGAAACTCTTCCTGAAATTTCATTGGAAGGGTCGGAAAAGAAAATGGTTAGCTTTTGAATTCTTCTTTTTTTTTTTTTTTTAATATAAATTTCGAACTTAAAAATTTTTTTGACAACTCTTAAAAAAAAAATGATATTAGATTTCTTTACGCGTGTTTCCGAAAAAGCAAGGAACAATCAAAGTTTTAGGACTTAAATACGTTCTCAATTCTCTTATTCGTGGTATAAAAAAATTTGAAAAATGCGGGAAACGTCTGAATCAAACTAGGGAACAGCTTACAAATGTAGTATATGCCCAAGATCGATCTTTAGAACTCACGGTGACATCCCCGATGCCATTGCTCGAAGTCGCATTCCATAGTTTTCCTGAAATGTTATTATCTGGTGAAGTCTCCCAAGTTTTCTTGGAAATAAATAATAAAGGCCAAAGAGGATTAACAGATTTGCGTGTTAAAATGAGTCACCCAAGTTTTTTTTGTATTGGTAATGCAGATATGTTGGAACAAAAAGCTTACGGTAATAATATCTAATCCATTTATTCTTATATTTGGAATTTAAATTATGCTCAATGGTTTCTTTAATTCTTTAGGTAATGATTCAGTCGAAGAAAAGGAACCGATTACTGAGAAATTTTCCACAAAAAATAAGATTTATAATTCTAGTATTAAAGATATATCGCTACCACTTCAAGAGGATGCGAAACAATCCTTAGCTCCTGGAAAAACTACACTAATTCCTATTTGGATTCGAGGTGATCGAATTGGAAAACATATGTTTAGATTTCTGTTTACATATGTATCCGAGGTATTCAATTGGAAATTTGTATTATAGATTTGATTTATTATTATCTATTGTTTAAATTCTAATTTAATAATTTTACGAATAGAAAAATGATTCCGCAATGAGATTTAGAAGTCTTCGTTATTCTAAAACTATTCAGGTTCTTCCATCTCTTAAGATAAATGCTTTTACCAGGCCTAGCACTTGTGGATTAAATGAATTTATTTTGGGCATTGAGGTTTTTAATTTTTTTTTTTTACATTTTTCTGATAAATAGTTATTATAAAAATTGATTTATTATTATATCACCCTTGACAGATCGAAAATTTACAAACCTCTGCAGAATTCCAAGTGGCTCAACTTTCGTCAATTAGTCCATCGTGGACGATTTCTCCTGTGAAAGAAATTTCAAGGTAATATTCGCCGTCATAAGTTTCATAAGTTGATTTATATCCTCTTCTACCAATTAGATTATAAAATTTTATTTAAATTATTTATATTGAAGTGAAACGAAGCCAAAATTTTTGATTGCACCACGCCAGACAACATTCACATATTATCGCATTAAAAAATATAATCTTGCTGATTCTATCAACAATGAAAACGAAAGTAATGAAGATAAGAACGTGTCACCGGAAGAGTTCACTTCAAATGCGTTGGATAAGTTATTAACTGGAGAAAATAAGTCACAAGCGGAACCATCACCTATTGATCTTATTGTGACCAATATACCTTTCGTATGTAATAATTGATATCATAAATTCAATAATTTAATTTTTTTTTGATTTATTTAATTTATTTAATTTATTTAATTTGGAGTTTAGAAATATTTATTATACATGGGTTTTTACGTTTTTTTTATATTTTAATTATTATAATTATGATTAGACTGATTATATCATAAAACACTCGAAAAATCCACTTGAAGGATTTTCATTGAATTCACGAGTTCAATGGCGAACCAACACGTTGATAAATAATTTTCCCATAATATCACCAAACAAACATCCATCAATTTTTACACTTTATAATACTAACGACGTTGACCTTGCGCTTTATTGGAATATACCTACTTTATCAAGACAAGGACATCACTATATTATTGGAATTAATTTGGGAGTTCAACAAAATCCATTTCAGTCAAAAATCATGAAATCTACGAATAGAGCATTATTTGAGCAAACTGTTCGTGAACGAGCGGCACTTGCCAATAGCCTGTTGAAAAACAAAAATTTTAAAGATGAGAGTCCATTGAAACTTGTTATACAATGTGATGATTATTTTGAACATGATTTCCAAAATCAAAGGTTAGTTAATTAAAATCAGAAAAGATTTCTGGATTGGATTTCATTTTTTCACAAATTGATTAATTGATTAATCGAATTGTAGATTTTGTGTTGTTAATGTTAAAATTTCTATCAAAAATTGTTCATGGAATAAACGAATTGGATTTACATTGGAATTGTTGTCATCTGAAAATGAACCCGGAAAAAGGTAAATGAAAAAGATATTAAAGTACCAAAATTTAATTAATTTCATTTCAGAAACGATTTTATTAAAACTTTATTATTATTATTTTTTTTTTATCTCTACAGTTCGTTGCATAAATCTACGTATCCAACTGTATTCCATTGGACCGGTTCAACATATAAATATGCAATTTTATCAACCGAGGAAGTACAAACCTACTTGTTTAAAGCTTGTTTTATTAGACCTGGAGTATATGAAATAAATCGATGGCGATTAGCAGTTAATTTTGATCCGGAAATTCAAAAAGATGACGGAGGTCCGTTGATACAGCATGAGAAAGGATACGTACAGATGCCCAATACACCACACTTAATAACAATAGTTAATAAATAAAACCATTAAGTGAATAATAGATTTGTAAAATATAAATTTAATAGTTATTATTTATTATTTATTACTTATTTAATCACTTTATTAATTCTATTTAATCTTACTATCAAAGACTTAATAAACTTGCGAAAGATCACTTTATTCAAATATTTTTACATTTTATCTTTATAGTTATTAATTTTCCCAAGCATTGAAGGGACATCGCCTAGCTGCTTTAGGATGACTCCAAGTATTTTCCAAAGTTACACAATCAATGGGATTGTCAAAGGAACAAATTGATCATACTACGAGTGACATTTGGCACTATGACAATAGACCCTTTACTAATAGGAAAAAGTATCTGATAAAATTACCCATGCAAAAATGGTATCTATTACACATTCTAGTCATATGACTATTATAAAGTGATAAATTACTATTATTACAGTTATAACCTTGCTGATTATAATTTTGTCTAAAACGATGGATCTTTTGGGAAATTAGTTAGGGCATTTATCATCCTCCTTTGGTTTGTCAATAAGTCGTCGTATCTACGTTTGATCGCAATGTTTATCTGTTTACAAATGATATTGGATTCTTCTACTCTAATTGTGTCGCAAGTGTTGAGGTTCACACTTATTGTATTTCAAAAATAATATAAATAATATTAAACAAGGTAAATTATGATTTATATGAGACAGTAAAATTAGTTACATAATCCAAGTCTGTTAAATCAGGAATTGAAGCAAGATTCCGTTTTTTTGAATGTTCTCTTTCCTAAGGAAAGTCATATATTTCTGATTAGTAAAGTATCTTTCAGATGTATAATTGATCATTTATAGGGATCTACTTCATTCTTTTACAGATCTCTTTTTTTTGATGTGGATAATTCAACACCAAATGTTCCACTCCAGTTCCACCCTTAATAATCCCAATTCCAGTAAACGTAAAGGTGGATTGAGGGTACATTTATTTCTTTTGAACGCTTCTCTTGCCTGTTTATAGTCTGGTCGAGCACCCTAGAAAAGACTTGTGGAATCAGTAATTATCCTAAGTTTCTTGATTTTCCTATCTAATTCTCATCCCACTGGGTCGGCATAAAGACTTGAACATCAGGTAAGCATAAAGGTCACCTGTGCCCCAATGCTAGTTTTTGGCTTGTCATAAAGACTTGAATGACAAGGAAGCATAAAGATTCCCGTCACGCCATTTACTACATTTACATTTCCAATAAAAAAATAAAAAAGAATTTTTTACTTGCCTCCTTATATCTGTCAAGTAGAACTTGTGCCCTTTTCTGCCTCTTTCCTCGCTCATGGAGATTAATTTCCTCAAGACTTTTTATATACAGACCTATTTTTATTAGGAACGGTTCCTCACTACTTTCTTCTAAAAAATTTATAATACTCCAATCACTATACTTTCGTTTAAAATATTTGTGTTAGACATTTTATTGCGACGCGTTAATGCAAACGGAACAAAAAAAATATTGCAGATCATGAATTATGATACACTACATATTAATTTATATGACTATTATTACTACTTAATATAATATTAATTATTTTTATTGCTACTATCACAGCAACTACTAATAATGAAATTATCTTTCTTTTTATCCTCCAAGCCTCAACGAGGTTCGTATTCAGATTATTAAGTGACGAAATTACATGATCAAAATTTCAGTGACGGGCGTCATCAAAATCTGTTCTACTGCGCCACATTACTGTGCCTGAACATGTGTGTCCAGTTTATCATGCTTCCAACAGTATAAATAAATTATATATTTCCCATATCGAGTTTGTGAAATGTAAATTGATTAAAGTTAAATGTTATGTTAATCATATTGTGACTAAAAATTATTTGTCTCTACAGCAAGTGGAATTATTAAATAGCTTGAGGAGCGAGTTAATGCTAATAATAAATTACACAGTAAAATAGAACAAAAAATAAAATTGCAAAAAGCAGAAAAAATACTTGCAACTCTGAAGTCCCAATAAGTAGTAAGTATAGCAAATCTAGTATCTCTGACACATATTATATTTTTTAGCATGAAGAATCAAAGATTCAAGTATTTACTTAATACTAGCTCCCACAATTTCATTGGAATATATACATTGAAATTCAGGACTCCAAATAATTGAGCATAAAGAGATTATGTCATACACAGCATCATCAGTAATTTTATAAGAAAAAGGAAGAATGATATTTTGCAGGCTTAGATTTGATTGTACAATTTTTCTCATTAATTTGTTAGTAATCTAATCACATCTTTTGAGAAAATAACTTTGCATATCTGAATAGCCAGCTGCAATTGTGCATATAGTTTCATCAGTAATTTTTCTATTGTAAGTTAAATCCAGTTGAAATTTTACACATGAATATGTAATTTCACAAATTGATATGTCACTAATATCCTGTTGTCTATTGAGGTTTAAATATACTAGATTAGAACAGGATCATGCTGTTTTAATCACAGATACATTGGAAATGCTACAATCTCTATATGAAAAAGCAAAATTTATGTATTTTAAATTTGAACAGGATTGTGCTATTTCAGTAATATATCTATTATTAAGACATGTATATGAAACAAAACTCAAATGCAGTAGCAGAGAACAAAATCTTGTAATTTTTATAATTGGTATATTAGTGAAACCATAACTTCAATCAAGAATAAGAAAGTGTATATCTAAACATGAATGCAGAATTGCACTGATCAATGCATCTGAGATTTGTAAACCTTCTAATCTAAGATATATCATTTTTATACAATAAAGTGACTTTGTCTTTTTACACATAACTCTTTTAAACTTTTTCAATTGCAAAGAAAGAACCTGAGATATTATGTTTTTATCACATTGGTTTTGCTAATAATCTTCTGTAAAAAATTCAATGCAATCCCATAAAATTGGAGTACTACAGTGGTACCAAAGGTGATTGACAACAAAGCAAGATAAAGTGGCTAAAAAACTAAATATATTTTTAAGCAATTCTGAAATAATAAAAGGGTAGGTCATAATTAATTTTTATAAAAGTATTAGAAAACTTGAAGTAATTTTTATATTTCTGATATTGCACTTTATTTATTTAATTTTAAAGGAGTATCCCAGTTGAGTCTAATTGTTAGTAGATTGTCTACTGTCTTAGTAAAATCAAAAACTACAAAATTTCAATCTTGCAAATACTTATTAATAATCTTAAATACTTTTTTTAAATCATTTGTATATTGATGTACTGTCATATCAATATGTGAACAAGGGTTTGAAGGTTAACTAATATTCTTTAACAAAACTAACTTAAACTACTTAAATAATTTTCAGAATTTCTCAAAAATTACTAAGATCAACTCAATTCAATTATTTAATAATAAATTTGAAAGAATATTACAAGATGAGTTTTTTATTATACAAGGTTTTAATATATCAAATCAATTTGTCTGCTTAATAAGATGTATATACTAAAGGATATTTATACAAGATTAACTTAGGTTTTATTAAGAATTACATGCCAAATTAATAAATTAAAGATTTAATGAAAATATTTAATATAATATAACTTTATTAATAAATATAATAATAAATATAAAGATAAAATATAATATAAAAATAGAAATTGTAAATTAAATTATGTATTAACTAAAAAAAACTTGACTCTAAACTTCGTTCTGATCTCTAAACTCTGAAAAACTATATCAGTAATTATATTAATTTGAAAACCTTCAAAATTATATCGTAACATTAGATTTCAAAGGTCGCAACCTTTTGAAATTGAAATTTCACTGGTCAAAAATTGATAAATCATACACATATCAAATATCCGATATGTATATGGTATATCCTAATATCAGGTATATATCGGGTACCCAATAGGTATAGAAAATATTATATATATATATATTGAATACTCGATAAGTGTAAAAATATTTTTTATACCTATCAGGTACCCAATATACACCTGATATTAGAAACATATCATGCACATATCGGGTACCCGATGTGTATATAATTTATTAATTTTCAACCAGTGTTTAACGGTGTTACTATATTTTTTTTATTCCTTTCATTGTGCATTTTCGCTATTGTTCCTATCTATCACATCCCGTTATCATTAATCCTCATCTATATAATTTTCCTTTTAATTGTCATCACCTCTCCCTTCTACTTCTTTTTCTCTTTTTTTGATATTACTTATCAATACTTATTACTACTTACATTTGTTTATCCACTTACCTTGTATTACCCACTTAGTTTTCGTCCTCTTCATTATCCTCTCTGTCCCAAATTTATCTTAAAAATCTTGATCCTTTATTCTCTTTTTCTGTCTATATTTATAAATTTTTTCAGTTATACCTGTCACGTGCCATGTGACTTCTGATATACTGCGAACTGCGGATGCTACGATCTACTATAGATTACTGCGGAAATTGCTGTTTTGTTTAGATGGTAATTACTCTTCCTAGTAAAAGACCACTCACCAAGGTAAAGATGCAAATGTTTTGAATTGCTACTACCTCTACAGTAACTAAGAAGCTAAGCATGACCAGAATTGAATCTATTTTATTATTTTCTTTCTTTTTCTTTCTTTTTTTTTCTTTCATCATATAAACAATTAATAGATTAATTTATATTTTTAGAATAAAATTGAAACAACTATAAAAGTAGCTTTAATTTTTCTTTTTCATGAATGAAAAAAAATAATGGAATCAATTAATTAAAATCACCTAATAATTAATTAATAAAATAATTAATTAGTGATTACTGAATCTTGATTAATCCTTTAGATAGTCTTTGAACAAATATAGGATAGATTTCTTTACTTTCTTTATTTCTTTTGTATTTTCTCTATTTTTTTAATAAAATCTTTATCTTGTTTATAAATAAGTTATACACATGTTTATTTATTTCCTTGCATTTGTTTATAAATTATAAATAAAGTCTACATTGTATAATCCAAAGTCTTAAAATAAACTATTGATCTTTAATTCTTCACTTAAACTGTTACATGACTTAGCTAGAACTCACTTTTCTTTATTCTTTGAACTCATCTATCCTTTAAATCCTTACAAAGTCCTAGTGAAACTATTTCATTTTGTTTCCTATTGTCTTTAGATTAGAATTTGCAATATTTTCTCTTCTCTATATTCACCATCCTTTCTTTAAATTATTCTTTTTCTGTTTTATCTAGTTTCTTAGCCTATAGTATACCTGCCGCCCAAATTCCAAATTATTTTGGCATTATGGC